TAAATAAATATAAAAATATAACACATAAAAATAAAATGAGTAATTGAGCTTGAATAAATTTAGACCCGATTAATTTGGGCCCAATTGACTCGGATTCGGACTAAATGAGGTGTCTACAACTTACATGTGAAAACTTGAATTCATTACAAATATCATTTTGCTTGGTTTGGTTTATACTTATTTTTACTATTTGTTTTTACTATATATATTTGTTATCATGCACGTTGCACAGGGCTATTAGTTGTAGTTTTTAGGTATTTATGCTTGGGCTTAGACGTTTTAATATCCTTGATGTACTGTATGTGCTCCTAATCTTTGTGGAGCCTTGTGTCTTCTTGCGTGCAGTTCTGTTATAGCTGGATGTATAATACTCTTTTCATGAATAAAATCCCTGTTTTGGCTGAGAAAAAATAAAACAAAACAAAATAAAACTTCGAAGCTTGATTGAATGGTCTTTACCCTTTTTAAGAGGTTTGATAGCAACCTATTTCTTCGAATTTATCTCCCAATTATTCCTTTCAACGTAAATCTTGGATTGCATGCAAAGCTATCTTGTATCTCAAGTACGGTCTTCCTTGGATGATGGGTTTTCACTTTGAAGTAGAGTTAATTACGTATTTGGTAACTAAATTTTGCCAAATGTTCTGTTTCATACCTAACATATTAAATGTGTTTGGTTAATGAGGTGTCATCATTTAATTTATTTTATTAATGAGATGGTATCATTTTAATTTATTATATAAATTTTATACATTAACGGTGTATCAAATATAAATCATTTATATTAAGGATTTAGTAAGGTATAAATTAAATGTTAAGAGTTTATTTAGATACAAGTTAAAGTTTAAAGATTTATTTAAGTGCATTAAAAGTATCATGACTTATCTAAATAAAATGTTAAAGTTCAAAGGCTGTTTTACTATTTTAATCTAATAAACCTGAAAGTAGTCTTTAAAATGGGGTGATCATCTCAAAAATTATACTGACTTACAAATGGTGATTAGATCACCATGTTGAGTGAACACCCGATGATCTTACATGAAAGTGATTTTGGATTACTGAAAGTAATCAAATCACAAACTTGAAAGATGATCTAATTCTTATCCAAAAGAAAAAAACTTTTATTATCGAAATAAAATAATATGTATCATTAACAATAGTCAATATTAACATTTAATTTGTAAATTAAAACTCTGCTTTCTCTCAAAATTATAATTATTTTATATTATAATTTTTTTAATTTTCAAACCAACATTTATTGTAGTCAATTCAAAATTAATTTGTGTATTTTCTTTTAATTTTAAAAAAATTATATATGTAAAATAATATTTTTATTTTTCTTATGTTATTATTTTAATAGATTAGTTTTATTTTTTAATTCAATATTTTTACATAATTTATATCATAAAAATTAATTTACTTATTAATAAATATATTTATTAATTTAATAATTTAATTATTATAGTATAAGGGTCAAATTTGTACTTAACCCTTAATTTAACATAATATTTATTCAAATTAACAAATTATTAAATAAATTTATTTAACATAAAATTTAGGCATTAAATACAAATTTGGCACTTATGTCACGGGCTAAGACTTAAGCTCCAAACCCACGCGACTCCAAAACCTGGGCATCTATTCATCCGATGTCCTAGATCATACTATCTACCACGGTTCATACACTTATGAGGTATTATCCGCTTTAGCCTCCTTGGCCTAATGATTTTGTCTTACAAAAGGTACTTCACAAGGCAAAGGTGGTGTGAACCCTTATATACCCCAGTGACCCTCCTTTTATGTTCGATGTGGGATTCAGGACTCCTTCTTAGGTCCATGACATTCTCCCTCACCCAACCTCATGACGCCCTCATCACGGAGGCTGACCACCTTGCCTACCTCTTTCGAGATGCTTGGCATTGATCGAACAGTTTAGGGCTGGCTCGTGACGCCCTCATCACGGAGGCTAGCCACCCTGCCTACCTCCCTCAAGATGTTTGGCATGGATCGAACAGTTTAGGGCTGGCTTTGATACCACTTGTCAAGGACCCGGGCATTCACTCATCCGGTGTTCCAAATCAACTTACCTGTCACGGTTCACACTCTTATGAGGTATTATCCGCTCTGGCCCCATTGACCTCACGATTTTGTCCTACAAAAGACGCCTCATAAGACAAAGGTAGTGTGAACCCTTATATATTCCAGTGATCCTTCTTTTATGTCCGATGTAAGATTCAGGACTCCTCCTTAGGTTTGTGACCCTTACACTATATTACTTATGTTAGTTTAGTACCTAAAAAATTAAAATTTGTAATTAGGTATTCGAACTTTCATTATGTTAAGCATTTTGATATTTCAAACAAATATCATTAGTTAACTTGCTAACATAGTACGGATATCCAATACAATCAAGCCAAATAACAAAAATGCCATGTCAATGGTGGTTCATTGTCATGCTGGCTTAAAGAGAAAGAAATAATTTTTTTAATTTTGAATTTTTTATAATTTGCTATTTTATTTTTAATTTAAAATTTTTTTTTTTTACTTTCATTTTACGTATTAGGTCGCAAATTTACCTGAATCCGTCGTTCACCTACTATTACATTTAGGGTGGGTTTTTTTCAAAAATGGGATTAGCTAGGTGGGTCGATTATTTTGAAAGTATTTTCATATGAAACCCGACCGACCCGACCGAGATATTTACTAAAATACCCATATATATAATAATTAATAATTATTTAGTATTTTGAAAAAAAAATACGAATCCATTTTCAATGTTTTTTATTATTCCCCTATCCTTCTCATCTCTTTCGATTTGTTCAAAATTTCTCATCCACCTATCTAATTCCAGCCATCCCACCTGTTTTCATCCATTTAACTTTCATCTATTTAGCTTTCTTCTTTCGAATCTTTCCTCTATTTCAACAAAAAAAGCCATCAAGCTAGAAAGAGTAAAGTTAACAGGACAGAAAGACAGACGAGTCGCAACCATTTCTAATCTCCACAGTGCCAGGATACCAGCAGACAGCAGTTTTGAGGTAAGCCAAAATCATCTCCTTACCCTCTACTGTTAATGTTATGTCGAGCATGTTGAGTTTTTACAGAAACTTGGATAGTTTCAATTTTGATTTCAGACAAAGCTGAAACTCTGCTAACCGACTGTTCTGGTTCATGTTCTGTTGCAACTTGCAAACCATGTTTTGTTACAAACCATGTGTTGTTTTCGAAACCATGTTCTGTTGCAAACCATGTGCTGTAACCATGTGCTGTTTTCGAAACCATGTTCTGTTGCCATGTGCTATTTTCGAAACCATGTTCTGTTGCAAACCATGTGCTGTTTTCGAAACCATGTTCTGTTGCAAACCATGTGCTGTTTGAAACCATGTTCTGTTGCAAACCATGTGCTTGCAAACCATGTGAGGGGTTTTGGATAAACTTTTTGCGTCTCTGAGGGAGTTGAAAAAGGCTATGTTTTAAAAATTGGTTTTGTAACTTTTCAAGAACAAAGTAATGCCCTGCAGAATCGGAAAACCTTAGCTACGATTGTAGGTTTTCCAGGAATCTTTTCGGGTTTCTTTTTCTTTAAGAACAAAAAAAATTTGAAAAATCCCTACAGTGTAGACTTGTGGTGTATCTACCTACAACTTTTGTTTTTGTCAAATGAGAGGTGCTGGTCATGGACTAACGGATATGAATATGCCACCCTCTATGACAACTTGAAAAGTCTCTTCTTTCAGTTTCAATTTGAATGTGGAAATTAAGACGAATCAATCTTTGTTAATTGGCTTTTGCTTATGTTAATTGGCAGCAAAAACAGTGGCCTCTACTACTAATTTCCACCTTCCACAGATTAATTAACATAGAAATTAAATAAAAACATTGCTTTCAACTCCATGGATGAATATGAATAAGTTAATCATACATACTTACATGGTAGAAATATGTATGAAATGACACAAATGTATGTGTTCATGAACAGGAGTGTATAAATACAGCAATTGTGCAAAATATCTAATCTTTTTTGTTTGCATATAGTCATCATTCCTTTCTAGGCATCCCAGTTGAAGTTTCTCTTTACAAATAAAACGTCAATTTCTACAAATGTTAACAAAAACTGATTGGAGGTTGTCTTCGAAAAGTTTTACAATTCATACCTTTTATATTATCCATCAGCACACATTCTTAGGACTCTTGCAACAGTCATTTATAACCTATTAATGCCAGTGCTAAATCCAAACTTAGTGAATATAGTGATCACTGAAAAGCAGAAAGTGTATGTTTTATTAATTGTAATTTAGCATTTTCACACCTAGTAATCCCTTTGCTCTTGCTTTTTTTCCCCATCTTTCCGAGGCTGAGCTTATATACCTAGTGTAGGTTCTACACCAGTTTATGATAACATGTATCCACCTAGAAGGTAAGATAAAAGCTAACTAAATAAATCCTTAAGATAACATATACCTCTCAGAAGTTACAGATCAACATCATAACATAGCCATGACAGTTTACTAAGTGACATATTAACTTTTATAGGGAAAAGAAGTTACAGGCAAAGGCTAAAATTATTCCAACAGCTTGAGACTTACATGTTTATAAAAAGAAGAGCATGTTTCTGTGCAACGATCGTTGTGTTCAATAAAAGCCACTTAAGCTTTGAAATTCATTCATTACATGCACATTTATCAATATACAATCCTAAACCATTTATGCCCTTTAGAAATATCTTGCTTGTAGAAATCTGATTCTCTTACATTAGTGAAGACAAATGAAGATATTTTAACTTGTTTTATATGTTAATTAGCCTCCTTATTTGGCTAAAGTTGCATGTTAAGTGAATAACCTAAAGGTGCATGCTAAGTTGTACATGGTAGGATTATCTTTTACTTTATTTTTTATGAAATGAACTTTTCTAATTTTTTTGTTACTTGGATTCTAAGTTTGTTTTTTAATTATTTCAGTAGAATTAACTCTATTTTTTTTTTTTTATGAATGAAGGTGAAATGTCTAATTTGGGAGATAATTCATGTTCCCCAACACCTCATACTTCTACCTCACATCAATCACCAATTCAGCAAGCTCTCATTCCAACATCTGATGAAAATACAACTCCATCACTAAGTGTGACTAACGATGGTACTGAAGTTGATGATAGTGGGTATAACTCAAGTAAGCTAAAATCAGAAGTATGGAAACATTTTAAAAAAGAGAAGATCAATAATGAATGGAAGGCAATATGCAATTATTGTAAGAAAAAACTTGGTGGTGCTTCTAAGAATGGATCAAGTCATTTGCATGATCATTCAGAGAGGTGCAGCAAGCGATTTCAAATGGATATTCGTCAACAAGTGCTGCTAGCAAATCAAAGAAAGGCAGATGGAAAAGTAACACTAAAAAACTTTTCCTTTGATCAAAATGTCACAAAGAGGGAGCTTGCCAACATGATAATCATGCACGAATATCCCTTATCAATGGTTGATCATGTGCAATTTAGAAAGTTTTGTTACAGTCTCCAACCTTTGTTTGCTATGCCTTCTCGAAATACTATAAAGAATGATATTTTGAAGATTTTCAAATAAGAAAAGGCAAAAACAATATCCAAATTAGAAGCTAATGAAGGGAGATTTGCTATTACCACTGATATGTGGACTGCTGATCACCAAAAAAGAGGATACATGGCTGTCACTGCTCATTACATCGATAATCAATGGAACTTACAAAAACGCATCATCAGGTATATTTTATTAAATTATCTTATTTTGATAGTATTTATTTTTTATTAAGTAATTATTACTGTTGAATTAATTATTAAATTAGTGTAAATGATTGATTATTAATTAGGTTTGAATATGTGCCAACTCCACATACGAAAGAGGTCATTGCTTCAAGTTTGATGAAATGTTTCTTAGATTGGAATATTGATAGAAAACTTTCATCTATTACAGTGGATAATTGTAGTGTGAATGATGGTGTTATTGAGTTGTTAATTGATAGAATTGGTTGTGATGCACTTTTGCTTAATGGGAATTTTTTTCATATGCGTTGTTGTGCACACATCTTGCATTTGATTGTGAAAGACGGATTGAGTATGATTGGAGATGGAATTGAAAGAATTCGTGATAGTGTCCTTTTTTGGGGTGCTACACCAAAGAGGTGGGAAAAATTTGAAGAGGCAGCACGTCAATTACGTATTCCAACTTTAAAAAAGTTGTGTGTTGATGTCAAAACACGATGGAACTCTACTTACTTGATGCTTCGAACAGCTTTGTTTTATAAAGATGTTTTTCCTCGTTGTGTGCAATTACATGGTGATCCTTTATATAAATATTTGCCAACTGAAAATGATTGGATCATTGCAACTGAGGTTTGTGAGAAGTTGAAATTATTTTATGATATCACTGAAGGGTTTTCTGGCACAAAATATGCTACTGCAAATCTCTATTTTCCTAATATTTGCAAAATCAGATTGGCATTGAATGAATGGATTATGCATTCCAATAGAATTATTTCATGTATGGCTGTGAGTATGTTGGGCAAATTTGAAAAATATTGGAATGATGTGCATAGTATAATGGGTGTTGCCACAATTTTAGATCCAAGGTACAAAACAGACTTGTTGGAGTATTACTTTGAAAAGATTTATGGAGAAAATGCTGAATTTGAAATTGAAAGGATTGTACAAGTATGTCGGGATTTGCTTAAGGAGTATGAGGAGAAATTGGTTTTGGAAAAGGAAGACGGACCTTCTATTTCAAGCTTTTCATCTTTAGATTGTGTTGGTGCTACTGAATTGGGAAATCTGGGAGACTATGATGATTTTGTTTCAAGGAAAAAAAAGAAGAAATCAAAAGTAAAATCAGAGTTAGATCATTATTTGGATGAAGAAGTCATACCAAGAAAAGGGAATTTTGATATATTGAATTGGTGGAAACTAACTGGACCTCAATTTCCGATCTTACAACTTATTGTTAGAGATATTTATGCCATACCAATTTCTACTGTTGCTTCAGAGTCTACTTTTAGTACTGGAGGGAGGTTGGTGAGTGCACAACGCAATAGACTTCATCCATCAACTATAGAAGCTTTAACATGTTGTCAAAATTGGTTATGGGCTGAAAAAGAAGGTACAGTAATGCATCTCATGCAATTTATTTTTTATTTTAACATATGTTAGTTATTATATTTTGTTGTTATATATTATTTGTTAATATTTTATTATTTCATTTGTAGGGTCAATTTCATTAGAAGAAAAGTCTTTCTATGAAGATATTGATGAGAGTGAGATTGAGGAAAAAATAACTAGTTTGGTAAATAATATTATCCTTTTTGACTAATTCATTTTTTATGTTATTGTTTTTAAATATATTATTTTATGAGATTTATTTATTCATCTTATTGTTTTATTTATAGGACTAGTGTGGTTAGAGGAGAATGATGATATGGAGCTTAGTGATGATGAAATGATTTATTGTGATTTGAAAAAAAGGTACATGACACTTCTATTGCTATTGGTCATGCAGATGAACTAGGTGAATATTGTATAGTGTATCACATCCAGCTTTACTGCTTTAGCCTTTTTCTCATTATTTATTGGTAATCTAAAAACTGATCATGCATTTCTGTTATTTAGTGGATAATAAATGGTGTGCATTCTCCTTTTGATAATGTTTAAAATGAGCTTCATTTATTTCCATATTTTTTAAGAATAATACAATATTTTTAATAATAATATTCTCAAAATGGTTAGTTTATTGCAGAGAAGGTGTTCTTTAGAAGATTGGATAGAAAAACTTTTATCAGATATTAATATTTGCAGAAGTGCCTTAGTGACAACATTTTTTGAGTTGAAAGCTGTTGTGATTGAGCTGGAAGCTGTTGTGTTTGAATTGGAAGCTGTTGTGTTTGAACTGAAAGCTGTTTTGTTTGAATTGAAAGCTGTTATGTTTGAATTGGAAGCTGTTGTTGTGTTTGAACTGGAAAACTGGAAGCTGTTATGTTGAACTAGAAGCTGTTGTTGTGTTTGAACTGGAAAACTGGAAGCTGTTATTGTGTTTGAACTGGAAGCTATTGTGTTTGAACTGAAAGTTGTTGTGAGGTCTTGTAGGTTTTTACTTGATGTCTTTTGTAATTGGATGAATATATACTTGTATTTTTAACTGCAGTTATAGTTAGAATTTGACTATAAATTCATATTAAATTATGCTTCATGATCTAAATGTGTTTGTCTATTACAGCATTTGAAAATTTAAATTTAACTATTTTTATGGTTAGAATTTGACTTAAATCCACATTAAATTATGCTCTATGTTCTAAATATGTTTATCTGTTACAAATGATGTTTTCATTTGAAAATTTAAATTGGTAATAAACTAAATTCGGGTCGGGTCGGGTTTTATTCGGGTAAATAATATTTATAACGGGTCGGAGTCAGATTTTTCACTAAAACCTCCGAACGGGGACGGGTCAGGTATCGGGTAGAAGCACTAAGGCTTCGGGTTGGAGGCGGGGAAAGCAAAAATCCGACCCGCCCCGCCCCGCTGCCATCCCTAAACGTGATGACTAATGATGTGACATTTTGTCACGTAGAATTATTTTATTGGGTATGTATGTTATGTTAGCAAATTAAATAAAGTTGTTAGGCTAAAGAATCAAAAAATTTGACGAAATGAAAATTTAAGTATTAATTTTAATTTTTCATATACTAAACTAATGAAAGTTGTATAGTACAAGGGGCCAAATTTGTATTTGACCCTAAATTTAATACAACCAAATTTTAATAAATGTTACTATACGCAATATTAATTACTTGCTTGATTTTAAAAATTTTAATTGCCTACGCGTTGTCTACTTATATTCTGTGAATACTCCTTCCATACATCATAGGTAAGGAGTATGGACCAGATCAATATTTGTAGCTTTAATAAAAAAAAAAAATGAAGTTACCTAGTTAGTAATTATAAATACTAAGTACCTACTTTATTTATATTTTTCTAAAAAAAGTACAATTACAAGTAAAAGAAATAATTACAATCAATTAATTTTTAATATATATCGACGAAAGAAATGAATAACTAACCCAATGTAATAAAAAATTCTACCAACAAAAAAAAACCATAAAATTAAACTAAATTTGAAACCCCAAAAAGCTCCAAAAGTATGTCCATTTTGGCTATCCAAACAAGAATTTTCCCATTATCTTTTCTTCGATAAGTCAAGCACTTGTTATTCTAATAAAACAAAACCACTCGCAAATATAAAAACTATGCAAAATTAATTTTACATTATTAATTACATATGTTTATGAGCAATACAATTATGAGTATAAATTAAGACAGTGTTTGGTTCTAAAAAATAGAGCTATTTTCTGTTTTTATTTTCTTAAAAAATAAAAAATATGAGTAAAAACGTATTTGATAATTGAAAATAAAAAGAAATTTTAAAAAATAAAATGAAAATGGATTAAATTATGAAAAAAAAAAGATTTTTTAATTATGAAAACAAGGGATGTACATTACTTTTTTCTTTATGTCTTGCAAGTTATCATATTTGAACACTTTTTAATGTCATTAATTAATGAATATATATTATATTTATAATTAGATGGCAATAATAATAATAATAATATAATTGAATATTTTATTTATTTTCCTATTTTTGCATTTTTAGAAAATAATTTTTATTTTCACTTACCAAATACATTTTTTAGAAAATAAAAACTATTTTCTAAAAAATAAAAATAAAAGCAAAACATATTTTCTCAAACCAAACAGAGCCTTAGTTTCTACCACATAAAAAGTTTTTTTTATTGTAAAATGAGAGTTTTATAAAAAAATATATATAATCCATAACATACATAGACAACTTATAGGGTAAAATACCCTTTTTCATAAGGTTTGAGAGAAAATGTAGTTACACTCTTCAGTTTGAAAAAGGTCCTCTTATAATTACCCATTTGAGGTACGATGAAAAATACACTAATCTCTTGAGATTATTTTAATATTTAAAGTAAAATTTGAAGAATATTAATTGGATTAATGGAATCCTAACATCGGTTTAATGTTAGTATAATGTTAATGGATATTAATGGATGATAATTAATGCTCTATTGAACAAATATTAGTTTAATATTAATGGACGATAATTATAATTTTCATTTTTTCTTCTACTTATTTCCTTCCTTTTTTTGTTTTAATCAATTTCTTTGTCACTATTTTTTAAATAATGGTAATTCATTTATTTCAAATAAAAATAATTTAAACGAAGAATTTATCTCAAAATTAATATAATTGAATTAAAGATAATTCTAAAATATTTAACTTGTACTTGAATTAGAATATAAATTAATTAGAATTTAATTTGACAGTAATTAAAAATAATTTTAAAATTAATCAAATTTTTATTATTTTGTTGTTGGAAAAAAAATTCAAGTAAAAGAAACAATAAAAAATATATATAAACAGAGAAATAAAGATTAATAATAACAAAAATATATTTATCTTTCAATTTAAGATTATGTTAGTTTTAGCTTGATTAATGCTTTTTTTTTTTACTTTTTGTTATTTGTTTATTATTTTCAATTTATTTTTTATTTTTTATTGTAGACACCCAATTGGGTCCGGCCCAGATCAATTGGGCTTGGCCCAAATGGGTAAACCCAATTCAATTTTATCTTGTATTTTTTTTATTTTATGTATTGTATTATTTATTATTATTATTATGTATTAATATATGTATATATTTATTTTTTTTTTTTGTTAATATTTATGTGTGTTTTATTATTTATGTATATATATATATTTTTTATCTTTTTTATTTTATTCATTTTTGTATTTTTACTTATCTAATTATATATCTGATATATTTTTTATTATTATTTATCCTATAATATCTGCTGATTTATCTTCTCTAATTATCTAGTTTTTTATTTTATTTGATTTTGATTTTAGAGGGCTGAGATTGAAGGCTGAAGAATCCCATTGGAAATGGGAACTCAATCAGAAGAGTCCAGTGGGATTCAAAGATTGAATTCCCGTCCAAGGGGGAATTGGGATTGATCAGGAACTCCTGATCAATCCCTATAAAAGGGACCCTCTGGAACAATGCTGGACACAGAGAAAACAGTAAGCAAAGCTACTGATTTGAGAGAAAAGGAGGCGTATAGGAAGCTAGGAAAAGTTTAGGAGTGTTCTGGGAGTGAGAAAAAAATTTTTAGAGATTTTTGGCGAAAATTTTTTCTGGAAATTTCTGGGAAATTTCCAGAATCCGGCGAAAATTCAGGCGAAATTTGAATTTTCCGGTGAATATTCCGGCCAACCTTGAAGTTTCCGACGACCTACCCAGTTTCTGGCGAAGAATCCCAGAAACCGGCGATCTTCCGACCAACTTCCGGCGAAAATTCCAGATTCCGGTGACATTTTCCAGAATCCGGCACCGGTGTTCTTCGGTTTTTAGAGAGAAGGGGGAGAAAAAGGGAAGAAGAGAGAGAGAGGGAGGAGCGTTCTGCCGAAAAAACGAAGGGGATTGCCTTTTATACCCTCCCAAAACGACGTCGTTTTGGCCTTAAGTAACCCAGAGGATCCGCGCGTTTTGCCGAACCCGACCCGACCCGGGCGTCGACCCGCTTTCTGACCCGCGCGTGCCAGCTCCCTCCAAGCCGAGCCGAGCCGAGCCAAGCCGCCAAGCCGCTCCCCCCGAGCCGTTTTCTCTTCCTTGAGCCGAGCCGAGCCGAGCCGCGATCCGAGCCGCTCCAGGTTTTTTTTTTTCTTTTTCTTTCTTTGAATTTTTTTTATTTTCTTTGTTTATTTGTTTATTTTATTTTTATTTATTAGATTAGGTTTATGTAATATTCTTTTTATTTATTTTTTATTATTTTATTTTCTTTAAATAAAAATAAAAAATTTCCAAAAAAATATATTTTTAGGGAAAAGTTGAAAGTATCAATTTTCCTTAGAAATAAATTTCCAAAAAATATTTTTGGGGAAAAGTTGAGAGTATCAATTTTCCTTAAAAGAAAAATAAATTTCCAAAAAAAAAATATTTTTAGGGAAAAGTTGAAAGTATCAATTTTCCTTAGAAATAAAATTCCAAAAACTATTTTTGGGAAAAAGTTGAAAGTATCAATTTTCCTTAGAAATAAATTTTCAAAAAAGGGGTTTTTGAGGAAAAGTTGAAAGTATCAATTTTCCTTGAAAATCGAAATTTCCAAAAAAAATATTTTTGGGGAAAAGTTGAAAGTATCAATTTTCCTTAAAAATAAATTTTCAAAAAAAAAGGGTGTTTTTGAGGAAAAGTTGAAAGTATCAATTTTCCTTGAAAATCGAAATTTCCAAAAAATATTTTTAGGGAAAAGTTGAAAGTATCAATTTTCCCTACAAAAAAAAATCATTCTTTCATTCCTTTCTATCTTAATTTTGATTTTGTTTTTTTTTTTCTTTAAATAATCCGACGACGGAGCCTCTGTAAGTGAAACAGTAGTTTTTCTTGCATACTCTTGAGGTGAGGGAATTTTCTCAATTTTCTGCTAAAAGTATTAGAGTCAATTGAGAATAATTTTCAACAACTAACTACTTGGTAAAATTTTAAGGCTTTTGGATAACACAAATTCAAGCTGGTACCATCTTTTGATGGGCGTTGTGAGGGTGCTATAACCTTCCTCACACGTAACCGAACTCCCGAATCCTGTTCTGGTTAGCAGACCTGAACCTATTCTTCTAGGGACCCTTAAACTTAGGTGTTCCCTGGAAGGACAGATTCTTTAGGTGGCCAATCGCACCTAGATAAAAAAGATTGGTGGCGACTCCCAAAAGTCAATGTCTAGCGATAAATCCCCGGATCTAGACGTTACGACAGCTTGGTGACTCCGCTGGGGACTTTGAGAGTCAGGCCAGCAAATAATTTGTGTTATCCAAAAGCCTAATAAAATTGAACCTTTTTGTATATATGTGTATTATTCATTCATGTTTTATTTACCTGTTAATTATGTCATTCATA